TATTTGTACAGGGTAATAAAAAGTCAACCCACAGACTTATCAAATAAGAATAAAAATATTCTATCTCATATCTGATTCAAAAGGTACGCTTATCAAAGATACGATTACACTAGAAATAACGCAAACAATATTCATAAGCATATACACAAAATGTATTATGGACCTTTTGTGATTTATTTCCAAATCTCATGCCATTATTCAAATCCAAACACCTTAATATGTCTATGATTTACCTTTCCAGCCTTACTTTTCTTTCCTCACACCCTGCTTTCCAAATATACCTGATAATAGTTGCTTGAACACCATATACACTGTCTACTCACATTTTTTTTTTTTTTTTTTTGGCTGCATTGGGTCTTCGCTGCTGCTCACAGGCTTCCTGTAGTTGCGACAAATGGGGGCTACTCTTCGTTGCGGTGCATGTGCTTCTCATTGCAGTGGCTTCTCTTTGTTGCAGAGCATGGGCTCTAGGGGCACAGGCTTCAGTAGTTGTGGCACGCAGGCTCAGCAGTTGTAGCACACGGGCTTAGTTGCTCCATGGCATGTGGGATCTTCCCGGACGAGGGCTCAAACCCTTGTCCCCTGCGTTGGCAGGCGGATTCTTAACCACTGTGTCACCAGGGAAGCCCTGCCCACCACATCTTTGACATGAACTTCCAGTTTGTCCTGTACATATCAGCCCCAACCCATTTCCTCAGATCCCACTATCCTACCTTATACTCTGGTATGTTCATTCAGACCATAAAGGTTTATGGAGTAGCATCAGGATCTATGATAGGTTCTGGGGACACAAAGATGAATAGAACATTGTCCTGCACTCAAAAGAACTTTGGCTGAGTGAGGGACAGATGTGTAAACAATAGTTAAAATACACTTGGCTTGCAGGGAGAAAGCACGGCTATGCTTAGTGAAACCAGCCTCTGGTTGGTGATCACTTATTAATCCATCATCCACAAATTCTCCTAAACCACTGCTTGCAAACTCGAGTGCTTACAGAGTAAGCAGGTAACACGAATTTATGAATCAGGTTGGGTGTGAGATAGTAGCTCATGCTGAGACCTGTAGCCAAATGGAGAGTACCTGTCCTGTCTAAAGGCATTCAATTTCTCACTCTTTTTCAAATGCCATGCCCGAATAACAGAATATGCCTGAAGGCCTGACTTGGTTCAGGCTGCCGGTTTGCGACTTCTGTATACTAAGATTAACAACGTCGTTTAATGTTTACTACGTGTAGGTCCCTCTTCTAGGCACTTTGCAAGTATTAACTTACTCCTCACAGCAACTGTGTAGTTGGATATTATGATTTTGCCCATTTTACAAAGGCACAACTTAGGGACAGGAGGGTTCTCATAACTTGCTGAGGTCACACATCTATTAGGGTGGTGAAACTGGGAACTGAACCCAGTCAGGCTCCTTCACAGCCCACACTCTTAAAAGAAGTACTTCATAGCACTATACTGCTCTGTATCTAAACTTCCAAAATTCCTTTATTCAGCTTAAACTACATAATGAATTACATATTTTAAAATGTGCCAAACATTATTCTTTTGGATCAAACTTTTTTAATTGGTATAAACAGACATGATGTAAAAATTTGACCATCTATCTGTTCACCTCTCCATAAATTTCATTACAGTCCTTGCTTACCACCATCTTTCTCATTTGAAGATCTTAATTCTTTAGAAAGAACTTTGCAGTTATACTCCAAGAAATACATATTCATTATAGGAGAAAGCAGGTAGAGTTAAGTGTTATTTAAGGTATTTTCACAATGACTCCCCATCTCCTCTCCGTTCCCTCCAGTCTACCTCCGACATCCTTCCCAATTCTGGGTGTATGTGGATTATTAGTCCTCCAAACAGTAGGACAATGTTTTGTTTTGTTTTCAATAATTGTCAGCATAATGTTTACAACTCTGTGGATCTTTCTGGACAAGGCAATCAGTCAGGCCATGTCTTCAGGGAAGTCCTATTTATATGAGCTAAAACAAATCCAAGGACACCTAGGCATTTGGTGAAACAGGCAAAATATAAACTCCCAAGTCTGTGATCTTAAGTCAAAATGTTTCACTAGACCAGGAGATGTAGCCACTTTTTATTCACAAACTTTCCTAAGAACTCTGGACGTTACATTATATTCTTTTTACTTAGGTAAGTTGAAGCCAAAACATGAAATCTTAGAGAGGCTATTGGTTCGGCCTCCTGGCCTTTGTTGCGACTGCTTCCTCGGCCAGGACCTCCCCACAACATCTGCACCCCCTTCCCAAACCCTGCTTCCTACCCGACCTTCCTGAAATTCCTCACACGCCCCCTCGTCTGAGAAAACTTTGACCTCCAAAGTGGTTACACGTCCTTCCTATATATACCCAGTGACCAGCACTTAATATCTATTTCAGTTGTTTACTTATTTCTCTAATTTGTAGTTGGAATTTATGTAGTAATTATACTTCTTAACCTAATTTGTACCTGAAATTTATGCAGTAACACTTATTTCTGGAAAAAAGTTGTGCCCTTGAGCTTTTTAACTTGGCTGTTCATTTTACAATCTCAAGAATAGTAAAAATATATGGGTTGTGGGCTTTGGCATTGAACTAATGTGGGTTTGGCATCCAGCTCTAGTTCTAATGGCTGTGTGACCTTGAACTGAGGCAGTTTTATCCTTTGGAAAATAAAGACCTACTGCTCTGTGAATATTAAAGCTTAGGAGCACAAGAGCACATCACCTGTCCAAGTTCGTGCTAAGGGTTAACTGCTGTTGTATTTCTCAAGAGTAATTTAATTTCATCAAAAGGAGAGATTTAACCAATAGAAAAAATAATGCCAGCTGATTTGGAACTACTCAAATGCATTTTATGATAAGCAACTTTACCTACATTGAGATTAATACTTAACATTTGTTATCTGTTGCTCTCTACCTATTCAATATCAAAATACATCTTAAATGGTTTGAAAATGTATCTGACTCCTTTAAATGCTCTAAAAAAGAGATCTGAAAAATGAAAAACAATGTTGGCACCATCTACGGGAGTATCTTTTATGCCAGGAAATTAATAGTACAGTAAATGTCACCGAATAAGACCCTATCTTAATCTCTAGGAGACTGGAAACGTCAGTTCATCCAACTCTCTAAGCATCAAATTTCAAACAGCTTAGAAAGTATTTTGAAATTATTTACTTAAAGTAAATTGGCTTCTGAGCCAGTAAAAAATCCAGTAATCCAGTTGAGTGTTTAAACCCCTCTTTTTAACCCTTCTTAGATAGGAACTAAGATGCTTAGTGATTGATTGCTGCCAGATTTAACCTGCTAAGAGCCACAGACAATTCTTACTAATAAAGACTATCTCTAATGAATTTTCAACTCTGGACCATTCAGAATCCCAAGAGGAAATGTGTCCCACTTCCCTGGATTTTCCTCTTTTAGATAAGCTTTAAGCTCTCTAAAGCCACAGGATTAAATAAGAGGATATTCTTTCGGCATCAGTATAAACCAAAAGTACACTAACATAAACAACAGCACTGTATGTTCATTCATTTATATATTTATTAATCTCCACTTGCTCTAAATCAGAAGCCATACGAGGTGCTGGGGGAATCCTAAGATGAATAAAACTATGTATTCTTGCCCTCAGGCAGTTCTCCATTTGAATTTTATTTACAAAAGTGTAATACTTTAAGCCACCATTAATTCACAATTGAAGTAGGCACTAATTCATAGCTGAAACCAAAGGCTTGAGATGGCATAGAGAAATGGTACAGCAGAGGTGGGAGTGCGCAGGAAACATGACCACTAAAAAGAAAGGAAAAGGAAACTAGGGCATAATTCTGGTTTTAGGAGTCAGAGACTCATTCAGAGTCCAGATCTGCCAACTACCAGCAATGTAAACAATTTTGGTTTTTGCAATTAGTATGTATGTTATAATTAAAAATTTTTAATTACCAAAAATGTTGTTTCACAGTTTTGAAGATCAGATGAGAACACTGTAAAGTATACAGCACAGAGCTTTTTAGTGGGAAGCTCAACTAGTATAGTAGTTTTTAAAAATGTAGTATCCCCTTAATGAATGTTCAATACAATTTTGTTAATTTAATTTACATTAATACACTTTTTTTTTTTTTTTGTGGTACGCGGGCCTCTCACTGTTGTGGCCTCTCCCGTTGCGGAGCACAGGCTCCGGATGCGCAGGCTTACCGGCCATGGCTCACGGGCCCAGACGCTCCGCAGCACGTGGGATCTTCCCGGACCGGGGCACGAACCCGTGTCCCCTGCATCGGCAGGCGGACTCCCAACCACTGCGCCACCAGGGAAGCCCTACATTAATACACATTTTGTTAATACAGTTTTGTTCATGATGATAATGCTCAGTAATAGAGAGTGAAGCAAAAGGGTAAACAAAAAAGTAAAAGCCTTCAAATCGGCCAGATCTAAAGTCAAGTTAGGGTTCAAGCTCTTGAAAGAAGTTATTTTATCATCATGGACAAATTTTCACAGGGTGGTAAAGATTAAATGTTAGAGATACAAGGCCCTCAACACAGCGACTGACACTCCTCAAATATTAACTTCACTCTTCATGATCCCTAAATAAATGCATTTCCCAGCTGTCCTGGACGCCTGGGTTTTGGCTGCTCAGCATGCAAACCTAGTACTTCTTGAGCCCCTTCCCCATTCTTCTCCAAGGGTGAGGACGGGAGGAGACGTGCTTCCCCCTGCCCTCTGGTGGCTGAAGCATGGCCTGCAGCCTAAACACAGCTAAAACGATACTCCTTCCTGGGGCTCGGACTCTGCAGGGATGGCACAGCAGACACTGTCTGGGCTGCTGGTGACAAGGGCGGTGCCTGCAGCAGAATCTGGGCATCACGGCCCCACAGCAACTTCTCATTAATTCTGTGACCTACACACTCATCCAATAAGTGAATTTTCTCCTTAAACAGTAAACAGTTCCTGTTGTTTGTAAACAAGAACCCTAAACTAGTACACTTTTGTAAAACTAATAAAAGTAAATATCAGTGCCACGAAATTATTTTAATATCTTTTTCTCCATGACTGAATATACAAAGATAATGGAAGTAAAGTATTCTTCTGCTGTAAAGATGGGTGGAATATATCAAAATCCACTTGTTGAATTTTCTTTAAATAATCCTCCAGAGCAACCTGAAAAAAGAGAATAATGGTCACTAGATCACAGAATGATTAAGTCTTTAAAAGAAACAAAAACAAACCCAGCAGGTATTAAGGCTATTTTAGTTTTCCTGAGATGGTCTTCTACATACTAAGAATGTAAATGAAAATTTTAAAAGAGAGAGAGAATAAAGACATCTTCTAAGAAGTTTTCTATGAAGCCAGTAAAACTATGTCACAGATCTAGTACTAGAAACATCAAGCCAATTCTGATCATAATTTAGTGTTCTGGTCAAAATGTGACAGAGAAATTATTTGCCAGGTCTTATTACTAGATTCTGTAGAATACAAAAGGGGTGTTTCATTTGAGGAAAATGAACCCCCCCCCCACACACACACAGAAACACACAGTGCCATGAGGGGGAGCTCAAGTTGTTTCTTTAAAAAATTATTTTGTGAAAAAGTTTAAAGGGTGTCCATGTTCTTGCTGGAAAACAATTTGCAGCCAGGGAGAACAATCACAGGTCCCTATAAACGTCACACCATGCTCCCCCCATCACACAAAACTTGACAAAGCTTTCTCTGGGACCGGGGGCCACGATGGAAAACACTGATGATGGGCAGTGCTCTTTATGTTTTTCAATCTTATTAATTTGTAAATTTTTATTAAACAGAGAAGCCACCTACTTTTGCACTGCACAATGTGAAGCGGCCCCACCGCCTTCTCAGCCCACGTGTACAGCTCCCCTTAGAGTTCTGCAGCGCAACCTGTGTGACCCACAGAGAGCATATGCTTGTCCAAAGGACTGTGTGTTCTCCCAGACTTCTATATACTATAAACGGATGAGTGTACATACAAATTCACTCTCTACTTTTGAAACCCTGCACTTATATATATGTATGGCAAGAAACATGTGCATTAATGTGCACAAATGCAAAAAACCTGGAAACAATCCAGAAGTTCTTTGACAAAAAAATAAATGTTCACACAATGAAATATTAAGCTGCTATGAAATAAATGTAGCTAGATGCAATAATATGGATAAATCTTAGAAACACTCTGTGTGTGTGTGTGTGTGTGTGTGTGTGTGTGTGTGTGTGTAACACAGAAGACATAAACAGCAAAAAAAAAAAAAAAAAAAAAAAAACCTAAGGGACTTCCCTCGTGGTGCGGTGGTTAAGAATCCTCCTGCCAATGCAGGGGACATGGGTTCGATCCCTGGTCCAGGAAGATCCCACATGCCGCAGGGCAACTAAGCCCATGTGCCACTACTGAGCCTGTGCTCTAGAGCCCACAAGCCACAACTACTGAGCCCACATGCCACAACTACTGAAGCTCGCATGCCTAGAGCCCGTGCTCCACAACAAGAGAAGCCACCGCAATGAGAAGCCCGCACACCACAACAGAGTAGCCCCCGCTCTACGCAACTAGGGAAAGCCCACGTGCAGCAATGAAGACCCAATGCAGCCAAAAAGAAGCAACATTTTGGTTAGGAATACATAAAATAGGGAAAAGCTTTTCTAGAATAAAAGCAAGATAATAAATACAAAATTCAGGATAGCTACTTGGAGGAGGAAGGCAGAGTCAAGGGGATGAGATTGGGAAAACACATGGGTGCAATTTAATGGTGACATTCTAGTTTCTGGATTAAGTGGTGAGTTCATGGGTGTTCATTATGTTATCCTTTATAATACATGCATACATATATATTCATTTGTAGATATCAAATAAAAAACACGTTAAGAGAAAAAACTTTGAAGATATTTTAGTGTACTTTCACATGTTCTCTTTTATTTTTGGAAAAAAGAGCTCATGTTATTCATAATGTTCTGTAACCTGCTTTTTTAAAAAATTAATTCATATACTGTTATTAACTTTCCATCTCTAAGAACTTTATTATGTTCATTTTAATAGTTTTATAATATCCAATTATAAAGAATAGTTAATGAAATTAAGATACAAGCACGAGAGTATTATACAGCCATCAAATATTGTATTAATATCTCTAATGATGTGGTTAAATGTTTGATAAATAGGACACTGCCATATAAAGTGTGACTTTAAATATACACAGAAATTCATTTAAAAGAAAGAACAGTGTACATAGCATTTACCTCTGGGTCTGGGAATTGTAGGTGATTGTTATTTTCTTCTAATATTCTTTTTATATTTTCCAAATCTCTATTATGAGAATGTAATGCTTTTATAATTAGGAGAAAATTCCATTAAAATACAGATGAAACATGACCTCAAAATTAGAGCTCAACTGGGCATTCACAAATTAGGATTTGGTTCATGGTTAATGGTAAATAAATTGTTCAAAGTAACAAATTCATTGCAAAATTCTCAAAGACGTTACAATTTCTGGGCTTCCCTGGGGCAGTGGTTGAGAATCTGCCTGCCGATGCAGGGAACACGGGTTCGAGCCCTGGTCTGGGAGGATCCCACATGCCACGGGGCGACTGGGCCCGTGAGCCACAACTACTGAGCCTGCGCATCTGGAGCCTGTGCTCCGCAACAAGAGAGGCCACGATAGTGAGAGGCCCGCGCACCGCGATGAAGAGTGGCCCCCGCTTGCTGCAACTGGAGAAAGCCCTTGCACAGAAACTAAGACCCCACACAGCCAAAAATAAATAAATAATGAACCAATGAACCGACACTTAAAAAAAAAAAGATGTTACAATTTCTGAATATAGCTTCTTAAAACCTCATCTATAGAGCACAACATACTCTACCCTAGACTAGTCATTTTCAAACCATTTTTAAACAGCAAAACCTTTCCTTTGAACAAAGTAATTAACAGATGCTCCATATATAAAACAAATGAGAAGAGATGTGCCCCAGCTGGAATGAGGGTGTAGGATAGAAGCAGCTCCTCGGAAATTACCATGTAGTCCCTCTACTTTCTCCTGGCACAGGACGGAAACAGAGCTGGGCTCCAGCCCCTAGAGTTTCTGATCCATTAGGTCTGTGGTGGATCCCAAGACCTACATTTCTAACAATATCCGAGGCATATATTGCTGGCCCGGGGACCACACCACTAGCCTAAGATAGTGGTTCTTAGGCCTAGCTGCACTTCATTATTACTGGGGGAACTTTTAAGAAGTATCAGTGCCTAGATCCAACCTCTTTGATATGATTTAACTGGTTTGGGGACAGGCCCAATATTGCTTTGTTTTGCTTTAAAAGTTCCCCAAGTGATTCTAATGGACAAGCAGAGTTGAGAACAACCTATTTCACAAAAGTGAACAAAACAGACAAAGTCTTGAACTTTCTTAGAGCTTATAAGTCAAGACAGGTGATGGGTACTTCCCCAGAGGTCCAGTGGTTGGGACTCCACACTTCCACTGCATGGGGTGTGGATTTGATCCCTGGTTGGGGAACTAGGATCCTGCATGCTGTGTGGTGCAGCCAAAAAAAAAAGAAAAGAAAAGAAAAGAAAAAAATAGAAAAAAAAAAAGAGAGACAAAAGAGATGATAGTACATCACCAAATAACCAAATAAATAACAATTAAAAATGGTGATACAGAACAATGTGTTGACACAGAAAGAGATGCTCGACACCTCATTTATACAAAAAATACATATATAATTACATGAACATAAGAAGTCCAGAAAGATGAACAGACGTTATCTCTGGAAAGGATAGAATTGTGAGAGCATTCTAATTTCTTTTGCCTCCTCTTATGTGAACATCTAAAACATTAACATATTACTTTTATAATAAGTGAACCCAGAAAAGAAAGAAAATGATTTCAAACACTCAGATCTGAGACCCAGGATAGAAGATGTGAAAGGATAGAAATGAATCTTTAAATATATTTTAGGGAAAAATGTAGAAGGTATGTTTGGTACTGTAGAAAATGCATGAATTTTCCATTTTCAAACATCACAGATCTTTGAACCTTGGTTTCTATCTATAAAATGAAGTAAACCACACCTAGGAATAACGTATGCAATGACCTAGCTCAGAACCTGTCCCACAGTAGGTGCTACTAACCGGAAGCTATTCTCATTTCTTTATGCATTTTACCACAATGGTTCCTGAACCAGGCTACACATCAGAATCACCTGGGGAATTTTTAAAAATCACAGACCCTCTTAGAAATGCTCCCCTCCCCAACCTCAAGAGTCTTATTTAGTAAGAAGACCCCAGGAATCTGTATTTTTGAAGAAGCCTTCCAGATTATTCTGATGCAGCCAGCTCAGCACTGGTCTGTGAACCACTTTCGGGAACCAGTGCTACAATATGGTCACTAAGGAGAAAAAATATAATAGACTATTAAGTCATACTTATATGGCCATAAGTAGCCTAACACTCCTATGAGGTGGTTTCTCCTATGATTCCCATCTTACCTATGAATAAACTGAGGTACATAGTGATTAAGGAACTTGTTCCACAGCTAGTAAGTGGCAAAACAGATTCAAAACGATGCAGTATGGCTGCAGCCAGTGCTAATGACAATTCCACTCACCTGCCTCTGGGGAACAGAGGCATGACCTTCACCAAAAGCAGAATGTAACTAACAAAACATACCACAGGGAGGAAAACAAACAAAGACTCTAAACTAAAGAACTGCACTGGGAACCTTATAAAATAGAAAAAAAAAAAATATACACATCTGCTTCATTAATTAAACAACCTTCTCTGTTAATCTACTTACCGTCTGAAGGAAAGCAGGAAATGCTTTCACAGGAACACTTTTGTGGAAGGACCTAGCCTAAAAAAGGAAGACAAAAGGAAACTGGTTTGAAATACAAATATTTCTGGAAATAAACACTCTCCCTCTGAAAGTGAACACAAAGCAACACCAGCAGTTTAAATCAGCACTGCTAGGGACGCTCTCGAAAGCAAGAAAATAGTTCTCATCTCCTGTCGGTTGAGATTAATTTGCCAAACCTAAAGGAATCAGGAAAAGGTACTATATTAAGAATTCTCTTCTTTCTTACATTTAGTTTTGACATTTCCAACTGCCTTATAACTTTGACCCCCCCAGCTCTGTGGTAAGGGGTAAATGAAGACATACAGGTGACCCTAGAATAACATGGGTTCACTTACATGCAGATTTTTTTCAACAGTAAATACTACAGCACTACATGATCCTTGGTTGGTTGAATCCACCTTGGATACAGAAGACCACCTATAAATTATATGTGGGTTTCCAACTGCGTGGAAGGTTGGAGCCCTTAACCCCCGTGATTGTTCAAGGGTCAACTGTACTCACATACAAGTCCCAGCACCTTCCCAGCTTGGATGTCACTCCGTCCTGTCTAGATGAATATAAGATCCTTCTAGCTGATCTTCCTGCCTCTGTGTTCCCCAACCTTTAATTCATGCCCCAGAGCCAGAGCCAGCCAAATGCATGTCCTAAAGTCACTGTTTTACTTTTTCTTTCTTTAACTTAACTCCCTGATAGATCATGTCCCAAATATTCATCTTGGAATTCAAAGGCCTACACATCTTGAATCTAACCTCATCTACCCAACCTAACACCCTACTACTCTGGACTACAGAGCCCTGATGCACTCAGGCTGATGCCCATCATCCAGCCCTCACCACGCCCACTTCTGTCTAAAGGTCTTTGCTTATACTGTCAGATACTGCTTCTTACTCCTGACTCACTTACCCCGCCTATTACAATTGCTCTCTTCAAGACCATCCACAATTTACTAAGCATCATACCTATCTTTTCTCTCAATCTCTCCAGGAAATGCAAAATTTCAGTATTCCCCATTCTTGGAACTTGCTCCTCCCTAGGTTTCCAAGACACTGACTCTGAGTTCTCCCACTTCTTTTGATCATTCTTTCCTTCTGCTTCTTCCTATTAAATGGCCCTTCCTCCTCCTACCTGAGAAATGGAGGTGGGCTCAAGGTTCTGCCTTTGGTCTTATGGTTTAAATGTATATCCTCCTTGGACAACAGCATAGCCACACTTAGAGCTTTAAACATAAGCCTTCCACCTGGATGACTCCCCAATCTGTACCTCCAGTTCTGCCCTCCTCTTAAAGTCACAATCCTACAATCTGCATTTTAGCCCACCTCCCTAAATGCCCTCTAATCCCCTTACATTCAATGATGTCCAGCAGCTACTGATCAGCACCCAGCACACCACTGCTTTTTTATTGTAGTCTCTGACTGGCATCATCACCATCTATATTTGAACTCCATGCAGCCTTCGACTTTCCTGCTTCCTGATTCTGCTACAATCCAATCAGTTATCAAGTCTAGCTGATTCTTCCTCTGTTATATGTGTGTATGTATGTGTGTGTGTGTGTGTATATATATATATATATATATATATACACATACACACACACACACATTCACATACATACATATACATATAAGACATCTACCCTCTCTAAATCACTCTTTATTTTTTAATGACTTACTATAGCTTAATTAGTTGGTAAGTTTTAGTATTATAGCTTTAATATATTTAAGTTATATTAAATATGGCAATCACTTGTTTGTACTTTCTGGGCTCTAATAACTTACATGTAAATTTTAGTTTCAGAAAACTATTTTGACTGAGCAACCTAGATAAGTTACATTCGCTCACATCTTGGAAGCATTTAGAGTAAAGCTACCGAGAAGGTTTAAGAATGCAACAAATCAGACACTTCTTTAAATGTGGCAGTAAGGAGATTATACACTAGAGATTATTATTAGAGTAAGCAGGATGAAAGCCAAATTATAGTATGGTGAATGGTACCATGGTGGTGAGGGCCTTGAGGTAAAATGAAGGTAGAACACTTATGCAAAAAAGGTTAATTGGGAGGGGAAAATAAGAAACAGAAGGGTCCAATGGGCTGCCTGTAACTTCAGAAGGCAATAGCAACAAACCAGAAGATAAAAGGGGCAAGTTATCAGAAAGGCCAACTGAAAATACCAGCTGGGAACTGCTGACGATGCAAGGTCCTGGAAGAGTAGAAGAGGCATCAGCCTTAACAAGGCAGAAAGACACACTGTCCCCTGAGAGAGAAATAGTGAGCGGATGGATCAGAGAGGAGCCTAACTGAGGAAGCTGAGAGGGAGAAGGAGATTTTTTTTAAGTAGAAAAAGTTTATAATAATCCCTGAGATAAATCTATTGGGATTTCAGTGAGCGATGGATATGGACTGCCAAAGAGAGAACACTACAACCATGCTCTAGGAGTAGCCACAGCTAGAAATGATAGTTTCCTAAATGATTTGGCAAAAAGAGGCTACTTACATGCTTTAGGTGCAAGTGTGCCTGGCTGGCCATGTCATATACCACATCTCTCACATTTTTATCTTGGCTCTTCCGCAGAAAATCCTCTTGTGAAACACCATGCTGTGTGGGAAAATGTACATTACATCAGGATTCAAAAAGCACAATTAGAACTAGCTCAAGAAAACTGGTGATAGAACAGTATATACAGTATAATGCCTATTTTGTTTTCTTGGTTTTTGGTTTTTTTGGCCACGCCGTGCAGCTTGCATGATGTCAGTTTTCTTTCTTTTTTTTTTTAATATTTATTTATTTATTTGTTTGTTTCTTTGTTTGGCTGCACCAGGTCTTAGTTGTGGCACACGTGGCATGCAGGCTCTTTCACTGCAGTGTGTGGGCTTCTCTCTAGTTGTGGTGCGCAGGCTCAGCAGCTGCAGCGCGAGAGCTTTCTAGTTGCGGCGCAGGGGCTCCAGAGTGCACAGGCTCAGTAGGTACAGCGCTCGGGCTCTAGAGCATGCAGGCTTAGTTACCCCGTGGCATGTGGGATCTTAGTTCTCCAACGAGGGATCGAACCCACGTCCCCTGCATTGGAAGGCGGATTCTTAACCACTGGACCACGAGGGAAGTCCCCTATTTTGTTTTTTAAAATATATCTACATGTATGTGAGTGCGTATATAGACACACACACAGACACTCTCTCTCCTGGAAGAATATGCAACAAGATGCTAACTCATGACAGTTGTAGGTGAAACAAAATAAAGCAAGAAACAAGCAGATGAGAAGTTTAATAGAACAGACAATAGTGAACCTCCTCCAGAAAACAAAAGTTCTCATCAACAGTATTCTTTTTTAATGGATTATTTCCTCCTTTAAAATAAAATAAAGAACAGGCTAAGGTGACCACTAGGAATAATTACTGTAATTGCTTGAAAGGGAGTAAGGCATCAACATGTAAGTACACCAAGAGAGGTTCTCTGAACCTTCTTACTCATAGCTCCACCACAGACCTAAAATGCCTGACTGATAAAATTCTGACTTGATAACTCTGGAGCAAAAAAGCAATAAGCATGTGTTTCAAAACGGTCACTTGAATAGACTAAGCAGAGAACCAAGACAGGACGCCCCTCCCCATATTCTTGAGGTAAATAATTAAAGGGTACAAACAACGGCCTTACCAGCATACAAATATCCATGGGAAGGAATACTCTTCTTCTACTACCATGATACGGCGTTGCTCTCAAGCAAGTTACAATGCCTTGTGCTTTTCCAATGTGACTTGCGGCATGATCTGCATGAAGATCCTTTATACCTATGATTTTAGAAATCAACTGGCTGCTCTTTTCTCTTTAAATGCATAACAAGTCAACAGAAGCAGCATAGAGAAGTGACCTAAACATGTAAAAGGTGTTTCTCCCATGTTTTATATCTGAAAGACAGGATGTATGAGAGCAAAACTGGGCACAAAGACAAGCTGACCATTTATCATAAACAGGTTTCTGAACTTCAACTTTTAAATAAAAGAGTTTTCCTTAGAGTACAGCACACCAAGAGCACATTTGGAATTTTAATTAGCTATCGTGGAAAAACACTGCGAGTCTTGCATTTCTTCTCCTCAGTGCAATTTCCATATGACCTCATTTTAAGTATATGCTTAACAAACATTCTGCTCTTTGCTCCCTCCTTTCATTGTGTTGGCAAACATGTCACTGAATGTGCAGGCAGAACAGGCCTGGGAAATTTGGTAGGGACTTGGGTTGTTCTCTTAGGGTGACATAAAGACATATTACCTTCTTCAAATGGATGATATTGTCCTTGTCCCAAATAATTTCCTCATTACAATAAGACCTCACCAACTTAGAACAAAATCAAAGCAGGAAAAATACCATCTAAGTGGCATAGTTGTTTTTTTTTTTAAGACAAATCTCATAAAACTTTTAGATATACAGTTTTATTTCTTCTACCTTTTGTTTTTAAACATGGGGAAGTATTATTGACAGAGAAGGAAGGAGTCAGACCACAGGCCTTCCAAATTGTAGGAGATGCATAAAAAAATAGAATCATCTGCAATTACCAGATTATTAATTACAGCATTCTCATGAGGTAGCTAAAGTCCTTTTATGAGAGCCTGGGTATGGTGATTAGTCTACATTCCATTCCAAAGAAAGGTATATATTATATTCCCCTTCTTACTCAAAAAAAAAAAAAAAAAAAGCTATTCCTTTCTAGTTGGTGCAAAGAAAAACTTCAGTGTTAAACTGGTTAGATTGTCAAATTATGAAAAAGTGAAGTCTAAAAGGTGTTTTCTTAACAGTATGCAGGTTCCTTAAAAAACCAAAAATAGAGTTACCACATGATCCAGCAATCCCACTCCTGGGCATATATATCTAGAAAAGATGAAAACTAATTCGAAAAGATACATGCACTCCAATGTTCATAGTAGTGCTATTTACAAGCAACCTAAGTGTCCATCAACAGAAGAGTCAATAAAGAAGATGTGGGGCGTGCGTGTGTGTGTGTGTATATACACACACACACACACAATGGAATATGACTCAGCCATAAAAAAGAATGAAATATTACCATCTGCAGCAACATAGATGGACCTAGAGATCATCATACTGAGTGAAGTAAATCAGATAAAGACAAATATTATATAATATCACTTATATGTAGAATCTAAAAAATAATACAAATGAACTTATTTACAAAACAGAAACATACTCACAGACTTAGAAAACAAACTTATGGTTACCAAAGAGGAAAGAAGGGGAGGGGGATAAATTAGGAGTACGGGATTAACAGATAACACACCACTACACATAAAATAGATAAACAACAAGGATTTACTGTGTAGCACAGGGAACTATATTATCTTCTAATAACTATAATGGAAAAGAATCTGAAATACATATATATACGTATAACTGAATCACTTTCCCGTACACCTGAAATTAACACAAATTAACACGTTCTTGTACACCTGAAATTAACACAATTCTAATAACTATAATGGAAAAGAATCTGAAATACATATATGTAACAATCACTTTCCTGTACACCTGAAATTAATCACTTTCCTGTACACCTGAAATTAACACAATATTGTAAACCAACTATACTTCAATTTAAAAAAAAAAAGGTATTTTCTTTAAAAAAGAGAAGTATAAAAAAAAAAAACTTACCCAATATTTCTAGTGTTAGATAAAGAAGAGAGCTCTGTGTGTTTTCAGCATAATTTTCCAGTTCCTGGATGTTACGATATGCTTTGTCATCCAAATTTTTTTCCTACAAACAAAATGCTTTATTTGCTTGACGAATTGTCAATATTTTATTTTTAAAAGACACAATTTTTTTGCCCTAAAGAATTGAGTAATAAAGAATAAAAACTTTTAGTATAAGTTGTTTATTACACAATAAAATAAGATTAAAATAAAATTAAAACATTAAAGTCCTACATGTTCAATACTTACAAATCACCCCTCAAAATAATACCTCAGGAATAACCTCAATGCACAAATCACCACGGACATGGGGTTGGCTTAATTTTTACTTCCTTCTAAAAGCCTGCGGTATCATGAGAAATTGACAACTGAGCTCTTACTTAAGTACTTCAGACATTATCTCCTTAATCCTAACAACTCCCTCAAAAGGAATTAATACTTTTTTCATTTCGCAGATGAAGAAACTGAGTTACCAACAAGTTAAGGAATACGCCCAAGGTCGCACAGCAAATTAGTGGTGGGGAAAAGATTCAAACCCACATATTTTGACCATTAAGCCCGTGCTCTTAATAGGGAAAAGGTGCCTAGAAAAAGAAAGGAGATCACAACCAGGCCCTGCACCCCATTCCCCATAAAAGAAACTATGCTCAATAAACCAACGGTTGATTACCAGAACACACTATATTCAAGAAAGAGAAAAATGTAAATCTTAGAACATCTAGCAACTTTTATAATAATACATTTACAAAGACTTGATGGCCAAGGTAATATTATTCCTCCACCCCTTCCTCCTTTTTTACAATCAGGAGAAACTGGCACCAACAATGAATCCCAGGGGAAAAAATATGTTCCAGCTCCATTACATTTAAAAACAAACTGGAACATAATTCATATACCATAAAATTTACCCTTTTGAAGTATACAATTCAGTGGTTGTAGTATATTCACAAAGTTGTGCAACTATCACCACTAATTCCAGAATGTTTTCTCTTCATCACCTCAGAAAGAATCCTGTATCTATTAAGCAGTCACTTCCCAGTTCTCCCTTTCCTTGTCTCCTGACAAACCTCTAACCTACTTTGTCTCCATGGATTTGTCTGTTGTGAACATTTTATAAAAGTGCAATGATACAATATGTGGCTTTTTGTATCTGGCTTCTTTCAATTAGCATGTTTTCAAGGTTCATCCATGTTGGCACATCTTTTAGTATCTCATTCCTTTTAATTGAAGAAAATCTGAATAATATTCCACTGTATGGATACACACATTTTGTTTATTCATTCAACTATGAGTTGTTCCCACTTTTGGACTATTACGAGTGAACATTTGTGCACAAGTTTTGTGTGGATACGTTTTCATTTCTCATACCAACCTAGGAGTGAAATTGCTAGGTCTATGATAACTCTATGTTTAACTTTCTGAGGAACTGCCAAACAGTTTTTCCAAAGCAGCTGCACCACTTTACATTTCCATCAGCATCGTATGAAGGGTTCCAATTTCTCCACATCCTCACCAACACTCGTTATTGTTCATTCTTTTTATTATAGCCATCCTAATTGGTATGAAGCCATCCTCATTGTGGTTTGGATTTTCATTTCCCTCATGAAAAGATGCTGAGCATCTTTTAAGGTGCTTATTACTTATCTGTATATCTTCCTTAGAGAAATGTTTACTCAAATCCTTTGCCCATGTTTAAGTTGGGTTATTTGTCTTTTTACTGTTGAATTATAAGAGTTCTTTATATATTCTAGACACTAGTCCCTTATCATATATATAACTGGTAAATATTTTCTCCCATTCTGTGGATTGTCTTTTGCTTTCTTGAAGTTTTTACTTTTGATGAAGTCCAATTATCTTTTTTTTTATTGCTTGTGCTTTTGGTCTCATATCTAAGAAGTCACTGCCCAACAGAAAGTTAAAAAGATTTATGCCTAGGTTTTCTCCTAAGACTTTTACAGCTTTAACTCTTACATTTAGGGCTTTGATCCATTTTGAGTTAGTTTTTGTACATGGTATGAGATAGGAGTTCAAATTCATTCTTTCGCATGTGGATACCCAGTTGTCCCAGCATTGCTTGTTGAAAAGGTTATTCTTTCCCCCACTGAATTATCTTCATACCCTTGTCAAAAATCAGCTGACTATCAATATATAGGTTTACTTCTGGACTCTCAATTCTATTCCATGCCGATATAGATGATCTATATGATCAGTATATATTGATCTATATGTCTATGGCAGGACAATACTACACAGTTGATTACTGTAACTTTATAGTTAAGTCTCAAAATTGGAAAATGTGAGTCCTCCAACTTTGTTCTTCTTTTTCAAGATTCTTTTGATGATTCTGGGTCCCTTGCATTTTCATATGAATTTTAGGTTCAGCTTGTCAATTTCTCCAAAAAAGGCAGCTGGAATTTTTATAAGGATTATACTGAATCTTCCAATCAATGCAGGGAGATTGACCCCAGTCCTTTACTTTTAAATATCCCTCTATACAAAAGCCAAATGTTATTTTCCATTAAACAATGGAAAAACTGCTATTTTTTCATTACGAAAAAAAGAGAGATTTTCCATTATCTCTGTCTTGAGTTCTCAAATTTTCTTTACCTCATGAAAACTGAAGACACCTGAAAAATACATTTTCTTAGTACTAATTAATTCTATAGGCCAACTGAGCAATTTTTTAAATGTTAAAGTCATTATCTCCTTTTTGCTTATATTATTACCACTATAGCCTATGGTTATTAATAGATTGTATCCAAATAAACTAAGTAAACTTACATTTTCAGGACAACAATATGTGATAAATATCAGGCCAACAAGGACACTTAGCCAACAATGTGTCAGAAAGATTACACAAATCAGCCCAGGTCATCAAGCAATTTGCATGCTTGGTTAGAACTAGAACTTAGTTCTAAGAACTCAGTATAAGATTCCATTTGCTAGAACTGTTGAACTTTCCTTATTCCCTCTATTTGGACAGAGATCCAAGCACTGGGTATGCATAATGATATGTGTACAACTACTCAAGTTTTGATGACATTAAGGAATTATCCATACTTTTTAAAGGTCTGGTAATCATATTATAGTCATGTTTTATACAAGTTTTTTTCTCTCTCTTTTTTTAAATTTCTATTTTATACTGGAGTATAGTTGATTTACAATGTTGTGTTTAGTTTCAGGCATACAGCAAAGTGATTCAGTTATACATATACATACATCTATTTTCAGACACTTTTCCCATTTTAGGTTATTACAGAATATTGAGTAGAGTTTCCTGTGCTATACAGCAGGTTCTTGTTGATTATCTGTTTTATACAAGTTTTTATCTTTTCAAGATACATGTATATGTACAGATCAAATAATAACATGTCTGGGGTTTACTTTAAAATAATCTAATAGGGTTTAGGGAGGGAAGTTGGTAGAATATAGATGAAATAACATTGGACATGTATTTATAACTATTAAAGCTGGGTGACATACACATGGAAGTATATTACACTATTCTCTCTACTTTTATATAAGCCTGAAAATTTCTGTTGTAAAAACTTTCTGTTTTAAAAAAACAAACTAGTAGAGTGTGGTGTGCACACGCATGCCTCTGCCTGGGTACCTGTCTTTGCTTGTCTGTCTCTAGGTACGGGGGTGGGCGGCTGAGGTGGGTGGCATGCAGTAATGGAGAATGGATAAAATGGTACAGTTCTCTAAAAGTTTCCTTTCTCCAAATATTAATACACATACTAAAACATTTCCTCCCTGAAGATTAGCTTAAGGATTAAAAAGGAAGAAAAAACTTAAGACTTGAGCAATTTCAACTTACTCTTTCATCAATGATTTTCATAAGCCATCTTTTAGTCAGATTATGTCTTTTGACAGCCTAAAAAAAACAAGAGTTGTAAGTTTTAGAAAGTACTGGAAATGACTTCTGTAGACCTGAATAACATAAACAAACCAAATACAAAACTAGGTAAGGGGGTTTCCCTGGTGGCACAGTGGTTGAGAGTCCGCCTGCCGATGCAGGGGACACGGGTTCGTGCCCCGGTCCGGGAAGATCCCACATGCCGCGGAGCGGCTAGGCCCGTGAGCCATGGCCGCTGGGCCTGCACGTCCGGAGCCTGTGCTCCGCAACGGGTGAGGCCACAACAGTGAGAGGCCCCCGTACCGCCAAAAAAAAAAAAAAACTAGGTAAGGGAGCATTCGTAATAACGCATCACCAGATAGATAGCTATGTTAAAGAACTAGGGAAAAAAAGAGAATGTCCCTAGAAAACATTTCAAAACATTTCCAAGTAAGGATAATATATATCCAAAACTTTTCCACTAATTTGTCTTTTTTTTCTTATATTATTGGTAATTTAGTGATTCCACTTTCAAAACAAAAACGAAACAAGAATTAAGCAGAGCGGAGCTTCTCTGCTATGTGATATGCCCCAACTTCTATGCTTACTTATTACACACAAACTTTTTTCCATAAAAATGAAGACTCTATTTAATGAAAATAAACACTTTCCAAAAAGAAAACAGTAATAAAGCTCCAAAGAAAACAATCTGCAGGGTACAGTGTTATCTTACAAGTAAAGACACTCTAGTAGGAAAGAGAACACCTAGTGCTCAGATCTTGGCCTCTAATACCACTCCCCGCAAAGGAAACAAGAGTCTAGAAAATGGGTGATTCCAGAGCTGGAGCAAGGGAGATTCAAGATGATTCTATTTTATTGCGCCAGAAAATAGAAAGTGCTCAAAAAAACAATGGGAGGCATGTCAGGACACAGAAGCCAGTTTGAAGGGACTCCCACTGTCCAAATCTGGGACTATTGGAACACCAAATAATTAAGTATAGTAATAAGTTATAAACTACTGAAAAAAACAGTAGAGTTTATACCAATAATTAATAAACAAATAAATAATATAGGAGAACGAGAGCATTTGCCTATAGTAGAGTGCCAAGTGGTAAATGTGAACAGAGCATCAGAGTTGCGAAATTATCATTCTGCAATCATAATAGTAAAGACTGGATAAGACAAGAACCATCAATGAATGCAGGAAATTTCACAAGAAGTTGATGAGGAACAGCGTATTTGCATTGTCTGAAAGTTGATTAGTTACAAGGAGAACTGTAATTATACAGTAGATTACACATTGGGAAAACCAGGCAACATCTTGACTGTTAACGAAAATGAACAATGCCAATAAAGGAAAGATGGACAAAATGTGTCTCCGGATGTGATACCCTGAGAATACATCACCTATGCAGTATTCTGGCCAAGAATGCATAACCTGAATCATTTAATCATAAGAACACATCAGACAAATCCAAAATGAGGAACGTTCTACTACCAAAAAAAAAAAAGAAAGAAAGAAAAAAAGAAAGGGTTACATTCTTCAAAAATATCAGTCATAGAAAACAAAGAAAAGCTATGGAAATGTTCCAGATTAAAGCTAAAATGACATTAACAAAAAAAAGTACCTGACTGGATCCTACACTGGAGGGGAAAAATACATTAGTGGATATTATTGGGTCAAGTGACAAAATTGGAATATGAGGGCTTCCCTGGTGGCGCAGTGGTTGAGAGACCACCTGCTGATGCAGGGGACACGGGTTCGTGCCCCGGTCCGGGAAGATCCCACATGCCGCGGAGCGGCTGGGCCCGTGAGCCATGGCTGCTGAGCCTGCGCGTCCGGAGCCTGTGTTCCACAACGGGAGAGGCCACAACAGTGAGAGGCCCACATACCGCAAAAAAAAAAAAAAAAAAAAAAAAAATTGGAATATGAATGGAAAATTAGATGAAAAGTGTTATATCAAAGCTAAATTTACTGAAGTCAATAACTATTCTGGTTATATAAGAGAATGTCTCTATTAGGAAATACTAAAGTATTTAGGGACAAAGGGACATGATGTATGTAACTTATACTCAAATGATTTAAAAACTTATGCGTGTGAAAATATATACAGAGGGAGCATGCTAGCACACACACACTTGAGTGAGCATGCAAAATGATTAACAAATGGGATAAAATGTTAACAACAGCTAATTCTAGGCAAAGGATATAGAAATGTTCTTATACTATTTTTAATTTTGTAACCTTTCTGAAATTTCGAATTTTTTCCAAATAAATTTTTAAAACATTGTTTTCTTACCAAGTCAACACTAAGTATAATATATTTTCACAATAAATAAATATAGTAGTGAAACAAAGTCTTAGGAATATATCCTATACTTCAACTGAGACTCTAAGATGTCACTGATACTAAAATGTAAAGGCTGACATGATCATCAATACACATTTATGTGACAAAGGGTGGATCTGTGGAGAATGGAGCCCACTTTGCCCTACAGGAACTTAACAGAAGCTAAAAGGGCTACATGGAGTTGGTTTCCAAGTGCTCTCAGCATTATTACAATTACATAGCAGGACTCTCTACAGGCCTCTCTCCCCAGTCCCAGGAATCAGCCTGGGATACCTCAGTCATTAGAGTCCTGCTCTTGTTTTATTTTGCACATGTCTGCGTAGGGCAGGACTTGTTTGATCTTTGTAACCACATCATCAAGCACCATTCCTGGCATAGAAAAGTACTCAATAAATACTTAACCACTGAAAAGTCAGACTCCTATTTACTCAAGACTGACGCTATAACAGCTGCAGTTCCTTGACCACAAAATATAGCTCTCTTGTCTGATTCTGAAGGAAATTGGAGATCAAGATAAAAAATAAATATTTATAAGAAGCTGAAAACCTGCTGAACAAAACTATCAAAACTTTGGAAACAGAAGCCAAATAGAACAAAAACCTTGGCTATAAATATTAGAAATTATAGATATTCAACTATTTTGTACCCTAAAGGGACCAATGAAACAGTGTGGCAAGAATGTACTCTTTGGACAACATGTCACTGTTTCCCTATTTAATCTTCTAAAGAAGCTGAAACTCTTCAAAGAATCAACTGAAAGTTTGACTGGACAGTGGCGCAATAGGGTATGTTCCAACAGAACGGGGAGGGGTAGGGAATATGCAATCAGGACAACTGGTCTGAACACTACCTGCTTCTTTCAAATACTCATATTAACCTTCAATACCTGTCATATCAGAAAGCTGGCCAGGGACTTCCAGCCAGTGGCACAGTGGTTAAGAATCTGCCTACCAATGCGAGGGATATGGGTTCAATCCCTGGTCCGGGAAAATTCCACATACTGCAGAGCAACTAAGCCCATGTGTCACAACTACTGAGCCTGTGCTCTAGAGCCCGCAAGCCACAACTATTGAGCCCATGCACCTAGAGCCTGTGCTCCAAAACAAGAGAAGCCACTGCAATGAAAAGCCCACGCACCGCAACGAAAAGTAGCCCCCACTCACCACAACTAGAGGAAGCCCATGCACAGCAACAGAGACCCAATGCAGCCAAAAATAAATTAATTAATAAATTAAAAAAAAAAAAGAAAGCTGGTCAACGTTAATCAACAAAATTTAAGCAGCTATTAAAACTGGACAAATTGGCATATACGTAAGCATTGTGTAATTTAGATATGTTTTCCAGAATTTAAGAGAAGCGAAGGCAAGATAAATTTGTGTTAAAGAAATCTCTGACCTTTCACATTATTTCCTGACAAAGGTCAGAATCTTCAGTGCACATCTTAGCATAAACCTCTAATGCAGTCAGGTTTGTATATAAAATAAATAAGAGTTTCTGGATTTTTAGAGAAACTTTTTTCTAAACTGAGTCACCTAGGATGAGATTCTTGAAGTGGGATGAATAAAGGTAAACAACTAATCTAATACTCACAAGCTTCCCATCCACTCTTTCTTCTCAGTCCCCAGTGGAGGGGCCTGGCTTTCCATCCTTACTGAGGCTCTGTGAAGTCAAATGGGGCCTGCCTCTGCTGGGGCGCAGACCTGAGAAGAGGCGTACCACTGTCAGGTCTGTCAGTGGCTCCTGTGATGGAAACTATCTTTTGGCATTCATCATATTACAATAGGGACACAAATCAGTGATGAAAGGTACCTAATTCCCTTTCTCTGTTCACAGTTCAGCGTATTTCTAAACTGTGCATGGCTGTTTGTGAATGAAGAATCCATACAGCTTTAATGTAAAACTAATTACTAAATACATCTAGTTTACAAATAATACCCTAGCCCATAGGTTTCCTTTCTCGGACACCTAAAATTCATCAACAAATATGCAATTCTATCAAACTAGACAAGGCAGTTTTAGATTTGTGTCTGGACAATGATGAGAGCACGTCTCCTGTCACAAAAGATCAATGCGTGATTTTCTACTGCCCAGAGTACGGATTAAAGCACTGGAATAAGGAGCTGCAGGGCAGACAGAAAATGTACCTGCCACTGCTTCAAAATTTGTAGGGCTTAAATTCTGCAATCAAATATGTGGAAAATAACTTATAACATATAGAGATCAGATTTCTCCTTCTTCCTTTTATAAAGAAATACACTGAAGATGTGTGCAAATTATTCGTGGATGATTTTAAATTCTGTCAAATATAACATATATCTGAACATTACATGAGCCTAAAATTATTTTCAGGATAGATTCCCCATTGACACTATCCAAATTGTATGTAACAAAAAGTATGCTCAAATAACATTCTTACAAATGAAAAGTAGGGGTCTTTTTGGGGGGTTGTTTTTTTTTTACCTTCCATAGTTCAATGGCCACAGGCTGATGTGGTGGACTGTCACAGTATATATCATCCACAGTTTTTTTCCAAAACTGCATTCTCATCAGTCCAATTGTTTTCTCAGAGACAGAGTCCTTAACCTGTAAATAGTGTTTAAAACTTTAATAAATGCACTGTTCACAGTCTCAAAAACCAGCATTTGTAACTGCATAATCATATAATTCAGCCAAAAATTAAGTTTCTCTACATTTAATTTTTTCCTTGAAGTTATGTATCATTTAAATTATCATTATGAGTTTCCTAAGTAAAAGCTACAAATTATTTGGTGCTTATTCAAAAATATTTTCAAGGTCTGCATTCAAAAATAGTAGCAATTCTTCTAGAAAAAAATTGCAAGAAAAAACAAAGAGAGGGGCATCATTTCGTTTAAAAGAAATTTAAGAAAGAGATCAACCAGTCTCATGTAGACCTATTTGAATCCTAATTTAAAGAGACAGAGACAACTAGGAAAATCTGAACACCAGACGTTTAATGATATTAAGAAATTATTGTTAAATTTTTAATATATAATAATGGTATTGTGGTTATTTTTTTAAGTGAGTTCTTTTAGAGATGCAAACTGAAATATCTGCAGATGGAAAAATTTGAGACTTACTTCAAAATAACCTGGAGGTGGGGATGAGGGGGGTGGGGAGTAAAGATGAGAAAACAAGATTGGCCATGAGTTAGTAACAGTTGGAGGTGGGTAATGAGGTATATGGGGGTTCATTATGCTTCTCTCTCTACATATGAATATACTTCATGTTGTATATGACCGAAGTTTTCCAAAACAAAGTTTTTCAATAATAAGTGGAAGAGAAGAAAAACAATTCTCACTGGGTTAGTGACAGTAAAAATATTTTTGAGTCTGAAGATAAACCTAGGAAATAGAACCAGAGGCTTTTTAGAGGAAGCAGAGAAGGAACTAATATTTATTTATCAAATGTCAACAAGTAGGGCTTCCCTGGTGGCGCAGTGGTTGAGAGTCCGCCTGCCGATGCAGGGGACACAGGTTCGTGCCCCGGTCTGGGAAGATCCCACGTGCCGCGGAGCGGCTGGGCCCGTGCGCCATGGCCGCTGAGCCTGCGCGTCTGGAGCCTGTGCTCCGCAACGGGAGAGGCCACAACAGTGAGAGGCCCGCGTGCCGCAAAAAAAAAAAAAAAAAAAAAAAAACGTCAACAAGTACCAGGTACTGTACCAGAGGTTATCTGATCACAATCCTCACAACAAACTCACAGGGTCCTTACGAATACACCCATTTTACAAACACAGAAATTATGGCTCAAAAAGGTAGAAGTTTATCCCATGCTCTGCATACTCACAGCTCTTATAATGGAACCAGAAGGATATGTAAAAGATTGTGGGAGAGGGGAGGGGTTGACTACAAAGGGACACATAAGGGTTGATGGAATTACTCTGTATCACGACTCTAGTGGTAAATACGTGACTCGAAGCAGTTCTCAAAACCTATAGGACTGTACATCACAAAAAGTGAACTTTACTGTGGTACATTTAAATAAACTCATTTATTTATTCACTAAGTAACTTTTTAAAAGAAGATTATTAGACTCTCTCCCTCACTTACTACTGATTAAGAATGGCGCTGGGTCAAGCAAGAATCACCAGTGCATGCTAAATCTAGGAGGTAAATTTTTTATTTTTAATTGAGCTATAATTGCCATATAACAGTATCTTAGTTTCAAGTGTACAACATGATTTGTATATGTATGTATATATTGTGAAATGATCACCATAGGTCTAGTTACTATCTATCACCACACATAATTAGGAATTTGTGTATGTTGAGAACTTTCAAGATCTACTCTATTAGCAACTTTCAAACACATAATACAGTATTAGCTGTACATTACATTCCCATGACTTATTTACTTATAACAGGAAGTTTCTACCTTTTGACCACCCTCACCCATTTCACCCATCTCCCACCCACTGCCTCTGACAACCAGCAATCTGTTCTCTGTTATCTATCAGTTTGGGGTTTTTTTTGTTTTGCTTTTGTTTTTGTTTTAGATTCCACATATACGTGAGATGACTTACGTGAGATGACTTATGACTTTATCTCTAACTTATTTCACTTAGCATAAAGCCCTCAAGGTCCATCTGTGTTGTCATAAATGGCAAGATTTCCTTCTTTTTTATGTCTAAGTAATATTCCATTGTGTAGATATACCACATCTTTATCCAGTCATCCACCAATGGACACTTAGGTGGCTTCCATGTCTTGGCTATCGTAAATAATGTTGCAATGAACAAGGGGGTGCATGTATCTTTTCAAGTTAATATTTTCATTTCCTTTGGATAAATACCCAGAAATGAAATTACTGGATTATATGGTAGTTCTAGTTTTAGTTTTCTGAGGCACCTCCATGCTGTTTTCCACAGTGGCTGCACCTATTTACACTCCCACCAACAGTGCACAAGGGCTCCCTTTTCTCCACACACTCTACAACACTTGTTATTTCTTGTCTCTTTGATAACAGCTATCCTAATAGGTGTGAGGGGATATGTCACTGTGGTTCTGATTTGCACTTCTCTGATATTAGTGATGCTGAGCACATATTCATATACCTATTTGCCATATGTGAGGTAAATTTTGATGAGGACCATGGTCTTAAAATGTTTCCTTATATTTAACAAGGAAAAAAATGTTAACATCTTGACTAGTGACCAAAATTGGTATTGCCAATAAGAGGCATACAGACATGTAATGCCTCCTTGTGATTCCCTGAGAAGGACATATACCATTTAGGTAGTTAAGCATTAGACTAGATATATATAAATATAATCATGACAAAAAATAAACTCCAAATAAGAAATACTCAATTTTTGAAAAGGAACAATACTGTTTTTAAAATGTCAATGTAATAAGAGAAGACAAAGAAAGGCTGTGGAAATGTTCCAGATTAAAGGAGGCCAAAGAGACATGAAAACTAAATGCAATACATTATCCTAGATTGGATCCTGTACAGAGGGTTAAAAAATGCCATAAAGGACATCATTGAAATCATCTGACAAAAGTGGAAACCAGAAGGTAGATTAAATAAATGTACTGTATCAATCTCAAATTTACTCAAACTGATAACTGTTATGTAAGAGAATATTCTTATGGTAATGAAATACAGTTCACGTTTGCAGGGATAAGGGCCATGGTGTAGTCAAGTTACTGTAAAATGATTCGTAAGAAAACCAGTGCATGTATGTGTGTGCATATTTGTGTGTGTGTGTGTGTGTGTGTGTGTGTGAGGGAGGGAGAGAGAGGAAGAAGGGGAGAGGGGCACAATATGATAAAGCAAATAGGGCAAAATATTAACAAAAGGGTATATGGGTATTGTACTATTCTTACTTTGGTGTGTGTGAAATTATTTCCAAATAAAAAGTTGGGGGTTTTTTTGTTTTTTTTTTTATGGTCTTGGTGCTGGGTGGGTCTCTTAGCAATGCTTAGTGTTCAGATCCCATGGCATATGGTCTATTCTCAATACAGCATCAAGAGTAATCCTTTAAAGAAGACGTGGCATGTATATATATATATATATCTATATATATATATATATATATGTGTATACACACACACACACACACACACACACACACACACACAATGGAATATTATTCAGCCATAAAAAAGAATGAAACAATGCCATTTGCAGCTATAAGGATGGACCTAGAGATTATCATGCTAAATAGAGTAAGTCAGAAAAAAGACAACTACTACTTACCAAAGTGATATCATTTACTTGTGGAATCTAAAGTATGACACAAATGAACTTATCTATGAAACAGAAACAAACTCACAGACATAGAGAACAGACCGTGGTTGCCAAGAGGGAGGGATGGATTGGGAGTTTGGGACTAGCAGATGCAAATTATTATATACAGAATGGATAAACAACAAGGTCCTACTGTATAGCACAGGGAACTATATTCAGTATCTTGTAATAAACCATAACGGAAAAGAAAAAATAAATACATTTTTAAAAAAGAGTTAATCCCTTTAGGAGGGAGATCAAGAAGGCAGAGTAGGAGGACACTGAGCCCACCTGCCCCCATGAACACATCAAAAATACATCTACATCACTGAAAACAACCTGGAAACTGGCAAAAAGGCTCTTCTACAACCAAGGCTGTGAAGAAAGATGCACATGGAGTCGGGGAGGAAGGGAGGAGAACCAGTTAGGTTGGGACCCAGGCCCTTAGCAGGGGACACAGAAAAGGAGGGGGATATCACACACAGGCTCAGGGAACCACCCTGGGAAGCAAGGAGTTTGAGCCACACACCAGGCACCCCAGCCCAAGGGTCTGACACTGGTAACACAATTACCCTTAGCTGGTTTGAAAACCAGTGGGACTTACTGGAGTAAGAAACCAAGACTCTGCTTGTGAAGAGTATGCACACACTTACTTATTCCCGGGAATAGCATGGAGGCTGCAGACTGAAAACTGCCTGCGGCTCTGACCAGCTGCCTGCTCCAGCCTCTCCTGCTCCAGCACTGCTCTCCACTAGGGCGAAGCCTGTCATTGCTAAGGGGAGTGCACACACTTAAAGAAAAGGAAGCCAGCTTGGACCTGACTCTGCCTCTGAATAGCGTGAAGGCAGCCATTAACAGCATGCACATCAGGCTGCAGGCTGAAAACTGCCTGGGGCTCTGACTGGCTTCCCAGACCATTCCAGCATGCACCCCAGCCCACACCAGGCGCCTGCTCCAGCCCCTCTTGCTCTTGACTAGGGCTGAGGTGCCATTGCTAGAGGAGTGCACACACTTAGAAGGATGGGAGCCGGCTCAGACCAACCCTCAGGGCTTGTGCTCCAGCACCTTGGGCGCCAGACCCCACCCAGACAGGATGGTGACTGCCACTGGAAGAGCAAAGGAAAAGCCCCAGCTCACACCTGGCTCTGGCTATAGCCCCTTCACCTATAGCCCTACCTCCCACCAAAGTGGTAGCTGCCAGCACACCCCAGGAGAAGACATGACCTATGCTCACTTCAGATCCAGCCCTCCCACCAAAGTAACTGGGCAAGCAGACTGCATAGGGGCAGTCCCACCCAAGGACACCCCTTCAAGATTGGGACAGGTAACCAATC